CGGAAAACGCTCATAAACCGCTAAATCATATAGCTGTTTAGTAAATATTTTGCATACATTTAACTAAAAATTCACTGATGGTGATGAACATATAGTTTAAAAACATTTTATTCTTTAACCATTATCGCCGAAAAAAAACTATTTAACTACAAAACCCCTAAGGACCTCTGACAAAATCCCAGCACAATATTACATTTTACATTAGCAAAATAAAAAAAGCAATACTTATATTTTCATCTTACATAATTCATTAATCAAACTTTTAACATAAAAGTATCTTTGGTAATTGACAGATCCCTACTCTGATCTTTTATTTGTATAGGAATAAATTTAAACATGTGCTCTTTTGTTTAGGAATATTTTGTAGTGAAAGTCTTATATATTCACTAATCTCATAATTAGAATTAGACAGGTCAGGAATTTATACAAACAGTTGTTTAGTTAACTATGCTCATTTTAATCCCAATAGAAACATTCAAATATTTGTGGTAAAAAACATGACCAAAGTACCTAGTAGTCGTTTACCCGGTGGTGATTCCCATTAAACTGATTATAGATTCGAATTGATTAGAGAAAACACAAATAGAAACATGTGTTTCCGTACAACAAAATCGGAAGTAAAGTGAACAGTTAATTGACAGAAATATGTGTTCAAATATTGTTTTTAACAAGGAAATAAGTATTTCAGAGAAAGACGCAAGATCAGTATGACCCCGTATTGTGTAATTAGAAAGTTTATTCAATTCTAGGGCATACATCATAATTTGATAGTCCATTTGTAATAAAATTCAAATTTTCAATACAGATTATGAGATACATAAAAAATATTAAAGAATAAGAAGCTTTAATTAAAAAACAAAAACAAAAAAAACAAAAACAAAAAAAACCGCATACATATACAAATTACTTACAGTCGAGCATCGGGAAGTCATTAACATATCTTACGAAACTTTAATTTGAAACCGATATTTGCTCGAGCTGAAGTGATATAAATGTTTATTTGAAAAATAAAAAAAAAGAACTTTTATGGTTGTGTTCTAAAAATAATGGGCGGCATAAGAGGAATTTCTTATTCATTTTACAACACTTGAAAAATCACTACAGAAAATGTGATGTTTTTTTTGTTTTCAACAAAAGTGTGTGTGTTTTTAAGTTTATTTATACTCGGCGCCGGAATAACCATATGTCCGAGATTATAGCATCTGGGACGTCTTTTTCAAGCAGATTCTTCCTGGAAGCCCATTTCTTCGTTCTTTGGTGGTAAATGAGACGACAATACCGTCAAGGCATCAACTTTCTGACTTGACGACAACAAAAACGGCATCTATTAGCGCCAAACCTCCAGAGTAAGTCACGACAGGTCAACCAATCACCTCTGAGGTACTTTATGATGACTTGACTATGACCTTCCGTGTGCCTTCTCCGCGACGTGCACGCCTCTGGAGGTATTTGGAGAAGTTTCAACAAAAACTTCCAAAACACGCCATTTATAACACCATTCATAGCACTGACGGCTTCGATGTTCTCATCTATTTGCGGGAAATGGTCGACAGGGAAAACCCTACGTAATAACCGCACACCCTGTTAACAACAGATTTTCCGCAGTATATATTTCAAGCTAGATAGGTTTAAAAATACACGTAGAATCTATCGATTAACTACCATAAGTTGGTTGAGTGTTGAGTGTTGGCGGTAAAAAAAGAAATATTAACTTCCTGATCAATTTTCACTTAGTTGATTCAGTTTTGAATAAGCTTTGCAGAGATGTATTTTTTCAAGAAATATTTAGCTTTAATTATTATCCGACGCCGTCAGCAATGAAATGGGATTAATTTTCTGAAACGTGATTTTATTCGAGATTTGCTTCTGAAGAAGACAACCTTCTGTCCGTAGAGCATGAATGTTAATACTCATCACAAGACAGTATCTTATTGATCTCAATTATGGTACATCTAAACGTGTATAATTTTTATGTTCAATAAAAATGTTGCATCACTGCAGTTGTTATTATCATTCAATAATATTAAAATGACATAAAATATTTATGATGAACAGTCCTAGAATATTTTGATAAGGAACCGTCAGTTGTAAAATGTTATTGTTATCTGATAATGAACAGTCGTCATACTTGCTGGTATGTCATTTATTATTGACAGTTTAGGTTTTTCAAAATTTGCATGATTAACAGTCCGAATGTAGACCTTAATTAAATGTTCTGGAATATTAACAAAATGAATAGTCAACCTCATTAACCATATATATGAATGGTTGAACACAACAGTAAGGATAAATAGCGCAATGTGCATATCTTTTTATTTTGGTAGCATATTTTAAGCAAAAAGAAAAGAAACTATAAGTCTGAAACATTCTCTCATAGCCTCCCCATCAGTACATTCAGTGCTTTGATTGATTATAAATATTAAATTACTGCAACTAGTGCGAAACATTTGAATATGTAAATTTAATGGCGATAGGATTCCCTAGATTGAAAAGGTCAAGAACATTGTTTTTTAAAACAGGCTGTAGGTAACAAATTCATGTATCTCAAATAATTATACTATGATGAAAACTTCAGTTGACAAGAAAAATAAATGTCTTGTTTTGTTCTGTTCCATAAAATATCATTATCCTATATGGCGTATTCATACTTTGTGGAATGACGTGGAATATGTTTGCAGTCTCTAAGATTTTATGAAAATTATAAATGTCCATTTAGAAGACGGTATTCAAACATTTCAGTAAAAAAAGCCCGAGATCGACTATTGGCTCAGCAGTTTAAATATTTCATTAAGGAAACATATTAATTTATTAAAAAGTTGCTGTGCCCTATGTGGTGACCCAATGTTTGTTCCGTTTCCTAAAAGTATAGTAGCCACAATTGTGCCCACTGTAGACCAGTTGTCTTTAAATGCTTTTAATTTTGGGGGCATTTTCTTTGTCACATGGTACTCAAATCATGAAAAAAATATGTCCAGTCCCGTTTGTCAAAACCCCTTGGTGGAGTCTCCTTAAATATCTTGTTAGCATTTGGATTCTTTTTCTGAAAGTCTAGCGTACAAAGTAGCATGATACTACATGTCTATCACTGGAACTAGATATATACATGTATATCTGATATTAATATATTCATGTGAATGCTGTTGCCTCAACTTGTGTCGAGTTTGTACTTTCAAATGAAAGGTAATGCTCTGTTGGAAATTGTGACTGTAAAATTAATATTAATGTAATTACAAACTTGTGTAATATGTATTGTATAAAGATGGCAGAAGAAGAATGTATTTAATTCCATTTTCTACAAAAAAAATTGATTATCATAATGCATGTTTCTGTCGAAAGTATATGAGTTATCTTATTAAAAAAATTACAATTAAACATGTTAAAATTCATTTTTGTACCTATATGCATGTTCTGTTGTTTTTATATTTCAAAAGGCCACATTGTAAATACATTAACCTTTGCAGTACATGTGTTTAAGATCCTAATGACATTTCGACATGTCGGGTGTTTTGTTGTTGCTTAGAGACAGTAGCACAAATACAAGAATATTTTATTGATTTGAACAAGATATTGTTCACAAAGTGACATGGTGAGGTTTTGTGATCGCTTTTCGTCCGGCCGTAACTTTTACTTTAAACAACCTCTCTTCATAAACCGCTTAGCCAATTTCATCCAAACTTCACAGGAATGTTCCTTTGGTAGTCAACTTTAAAAATTGTTCAAAGAATTCAATTCCAAGTAGAACTCTTGTTGCCATGCCACCCGAGAGAAAAAAGCTTAAAATATCTTCCTTTTAGAAAACCGTAAGAGCTAGAGCTTAAATATTTAGCATGAAACATCATCTAGTCAGTGTCTACCAAGTTTGTTCAAATAAATGCCCTGGGATCAAAAATGACCCCACCCCGGGGGTCATTGATTTTTTTTTTTTTTTTTTTTTTTTGGGGGGGGGGGGTACGTCACATCGACACAGTATAGGTCATATCGCGACGTTCCAGCTTTTACTGGTAGAGGAAGACCTCAGGTGCCCTTCCGTGTATTATTATTTCAGGCACGAACGGGCACCCGAGTAGAACCACCGACGTTCCGTAAGCTAGTTGGATAGCTTCCTCACATGAAAGAATCCAAAGTCCCTGTCGGGATTCGAACCCACAGCGGGAGCTTAGATGTTAAGCATAAAACATCTTCACGTTGGTGTCTACCAAGTTTGTTCAAATAAAAGCCCTGGGGGGAAAATTGGTCCCGCCCCCCGGGGTCATTGATTTTCCTTATTTATATATAGTAAAAACTTAAAATATCTTCTTTTAAAATAACAAAATAGCTAGATCATAGATATAAAGCATGAAACATCTTCTAGTGGGTGTCTACGAAGTTTGTTCAAATAAAAAGCACTGGGGTCAAAATTGGCCCCTCCCAGGGGGTCATTGTTTTTCCCTGCATGTATATAGTAAAAACTTAAAAAATCTTTTTTATAAAAACCCCAAAGAGATAGAGCTTAGATATATATATCATGAAACATCTTTAAATGGGTGTCTACCAAGTTTGTTCAAATAAAGGCCCCTGGTTTAAAATAGCCCTTGGCCCAGGTGCCACAAATGAAATACGGAAATTTTCATACCAGAGATAAAATGAATTTTTCTTTTTTGACCTATGATTTTAAATTTTGTGTATTGGCTGAATTCTGCCAAGATACCAGTGAAAATACAAATATAATTTACTGCAGTGAAAAATATTTTTTTACGTGAAAATACAGAAAATTGAAAATCACATTTTATTTCATCAATATTTCATTTAAAGGTTCGTACCCTGATGTCATTAGAACTGTGAATTGGATTACCAGTAAATGACACTGTGTTACAAAATGATGAATGTTTGATTGTTGTTCAAATAAAGTATAAGCTTTCCTCAAAATCTACCTTAATTAAATAATGTTTAAACTAAAATAACTGAAGTCTATTTCTGGCAGTTCTTTTTGCAATTGGTTAAGATATTTCTAAAATTATCTTCAAGTGTTTCCATTTCTCACAAAACTAACAAAATGTAACAAATCATTGATAACAAAAACAACTTTTATTCAATAAAAAAAGAGGTAAAAATATTCAAAAATAAGATTTTCTTTTCCGTCCAGTATATTTTGTGTCTGGCCTTACTTCCCTGAAAAGAACAAAAAAATATGATTAGTTTCAAAAAGAAAAACTTTTTTCACAAAAACTTTAAACCCTTGAAATACTGTCAAATAATAAAGATGCATACATATTACCTGCCATGTAAGAAAAGCCTCCAGTTAATAAAATACTGCAATACACTTGCCTAAAAAGAATCACTAAGAAAGGGAGCTTGTGTAAAAAACGAACACTTGAATGTTCTTTAAACAAACACCTGGACTATAAAACGCTGTGATATCTTTTCAAGGAAGAGCTGGCCTAGTGGTTAAGGTTCCTGTCTCTCAAACTAGGTATCATAGGTTTGAGTATGACCTTGTTTACTGCATGACGGGTTAGTTCCAGAAAATAATATTGAATTCGGCTGGACTGCAAACCTTCAATATTTTTCATTACCAAGCTTAATATGATATGTTTTAAATAAGCGAACTACATCTAATTCCCGACTGAGCTGGCCAGAAATAAATATTTATGAAAATGATTACACTACTTACTTCCCTTGTCTTCTCCGTCTTTCTTTCTTCTCTAAAATCCAGTCTCGACTCTTCTTTAATGACTTTCCTCTTGCATTTTTCATTCTGTCTCTATAATTTAACATAATACATAAATTTCCACATTGATAATTGTGAATAGTGGTAAGTAGAGAAAGTAATATTGAATAACTGATATAACATTCACCATTCACTTGGACTGAAAAATAGACTTAAATTAAATCATTAAATTCATTTTACAGTATCATTACATTAATGATTGTCCTTGCTCAAAGTTGTCTGCCTGAGACAGACATTCAACTTGTTTCACATTTGAAAATTGCATGGTAAGTAAAAATATCATTAGTTTATACAAATTTATTATAGTTCTATTGTGATGGAAGCTATAAGCTTATTGAAACACTCTCAAATCCATTCCTGGTTAACCAGTACTAAGCAATGAATGTATAGTTTCTTGCTCAAGGAAACAACGGCTTGCCCCTGACTGGGTCCGCACCAACACGGCAAGCAATCCTTAGAACACTAGTCTGACATGTTAACCACTCGGCCACACCACCACTATTAATATAAGAAAACAATTATAAGAGCAAAGAAGAACAATCAGATACATGGTATATGTATACTACATACTAATGTATAAGAATAAAACTTATATATTACATGTATTTTAAACAACAATAAAATGGTTCCCAAGAACTTGTTTCTGTTGTTTCCCTTATCTTTTTTCTTGTTGAAACATAGTATTCTATATGTATTGCTTGTTTTTTCAAGTGGTGTATCCACATTTGACTCTTACACATCCTTAATTAAACCAAGCCAATAGTCTGTAATTATGTCCATCCTAGTTTTCTACAGGAACCATCAAGATATGCTACGGACCAAGTATTGTTATGGCAAATTCAATTACATGTATGAGATATTTCAATCTTATTTATGGATGCTACTAACCAAAGGTGGTTATGACACAAACTGTATAAAACTACATGTAGTTATATGACTTAAATCAGTTTAACCCTCTCAATTGTATCTAACAACTTTCATGAAGAATAAAATTAGAGAAGGAATAATGGTCTAGTGGTGTCGGCCTTTCAATCCAGAGATTGCAAGTTTGAGCTCTTGTCAGACCACATCCATATTTTCACACATAAAACCAGTTAAATGAAGAGGCTTTAATGTTGCACCAACACAGTATAGGTCATATGGCGACTTTCCAGCTTTACTGATGGAGAAATACCTTGAGTGCCCCTCTGTTCATAATTACAGGCAAAAGTGGGCACCTTAGTAGAACCACCGATGTTCAGTAAGCTAGCTGGATAGCTTTCTCACATGAAGAATCTAAAAATGCTAGCGCAGTCTCAAACCTACAGCAGGGAAAGGCAATTGGTTTGAGGTCAATGACCTTGACCTGTTAGCCATGCAAGCCAAAGAAGAGGCCTTGAAAATTATAAATGATAAGATGCAACAAGAATCTAGCTGAAACAAGAATGTTTAAATCTAATATATATTACAGGTGTCACCTTTTATCTGAGAATGAAATTTGTGCCTTGGCACCTTGAGCCTCTTCTGTACCAAGTCCTTTAGGTAAAGTCTGTGACTGACCACCAGCAAATAAACATAAAAACATTCTGAAATATAACAAAACATTTGTATAGTATAATTAACAGTATGAAACCCTCAATTGCCTTATAAAGTTGTAATCATTCTTGGCTGCTATATAGTTCTTTTGTTGAAATAAAAGAAAAGTTTTTACATATGGAAGTTATCCTGGGTGAAATTGTTCTTATCCTACTTGATACGTATTTTGCGACACTGAGTTTAATATCAATAACAGAAAATATCTTTAAATTAACCTATCTTAAAAGACCCTTGGATGTTAGACCTATTGACCATCTTTTTTTATTCAAAGTAACGTTTAACTGTGACCTGTTAAAAATCTGGACTTAGATCAGGATAAAATCTTATTCCACAATGAACCTGCCTAATAATGGGGCTTGAAATGGTATAAGATTTCCAAGTTGATCACTTTAACTTAAATACCAGTTATATAATTGATATCAGTATTATATCAATGCCTTACTTTTTAGCTTTTGTACTATTTGGATAATCAACCACTAGACCTCCAGTGAACCCTGACTTCATAGCTTGCTGGGTAATCAATTCTAACTGAAAGAAAAAAATGATTCTTTTCAATCTCCATTTTGATACTGTTCAAAAGACATAATTATCAGCATGTCTGAAAGAGAATTTTATGTTTTGTCATCTTTCAACATCATTTTGTATTTTCATAGCTTAATCCTGACTGATAATCAAACCATACAGCTTCAAACTTATTCTTTATCCTATGTTTTTCCTGAATTAAACTTACACTATGACCTTTGTAAGTTTTTCTTTAAAAATCAAATGTTATAAGAAACACCAAACTACAAAATGTTGCGTGGATAGCTTCCTCACATTAAGAAATTCAAAGACCCAAGTGGAAATGAAGACCAAAATTATGAGCAGAAAGTGAGTAGAAATCCCGGACCTCTAGCACTCAGCTAGGGACGCATCTAAAATCACATTCTCACAAACACAACAGGGAAAGTGTCATAATATTGTAACATAGTATTAGAAAGTAGCCAAAAACAGCAAAATGAACTAAATTTGTTTATCATAAAGAAAAACAAAATGGTTACATTATAATTGTAACATTACACTTATAAATTCTCACATACCTGTGAACTACTTTCTGGGTATAACTGAAATACTGCACGAGATCCACGAGCCTGAAAACATTTCAGAATTCTTTACATGTGACTTTCTTAAATATCTTACTAAGTTTAATATAACAATTTCCATCACAGAAATTTAGGTCCCCCACCTTACTGGGTCTCCTGGATAACTAACCAGTAATTACCAATTTCTCTGTAAAAGACTGACAACTACTGTATAAGTGGTTTAGTCAGCAATGACGAAATATTGGCGAATTTCGCGAATTGACAAAAATCGCTCAAATATCCCTTAGCATAAATATCAACCAACCTGTTTTCAGTTTTCACGCTACTCTTTTTAAATTTGCAAACATTTTGACACGCTGAAATATCCACTTATACAGTAATTTCACACAATTTCTGTATCAGCGGCAAGTGACAAGATGAACATTAGACTCAATGTCAAAGAACTTTTGCCTCGCCTTAGGATTGAAACAGATTACAAATCCGAATCTATTCCTTTTGAGCTTTGTGGGCAACTGCTAATGACGAATAGTTAATGCAACCAGTATTTACTCTCCTATGCATCGGTGAATGGGAGTATGTCGGTATTAAGCTAGGCCAAACTGTCTTAATATCCATTCGGTGTATCCAGACTTATTTCTACAATGTCAACAACTAATTTTTGTATTCCAGTGCTATAGTTCTTTAAACCAACAACAGATTTAACAAATTTAAAGACAGACAGGCAAAGTTTTTTGTCAACATAGACATCAAAGCAGAGCCAATTGATTATAAATATGTAAATCAGGCATGGTAAGCCACAAGCTTAACAGCTTTCAAGGATGAAATAAGCATTTCAGTCTAGCTTTTTTCATTACAAGTAGACTTGCAAATGACCAACGAAGCCTATCATAACAAATCATATGTTTGAACTTCTTATGTAACTATAAAAAGGAAAACTTACCATACAGGCATATAGTGTAGAGAAAAACTTGAGTAATCGCTTAGGCGGATGATGATATTTCTTATCTGCATTGCATAGCCACTGAAGAGCAGATATACTGAAATACACACAATCAATTTACTCACATATACACATGTATATAATAGAAAAACACAGAAACTCAGTTTACTACATTACAAATGTTAACACTTTTAAATTCTCTACAATATCATACAAGAAATTTGCAACTGCAAAAGAAACTAATAAGATTAACTGAAGAAATATGAACTAATAAGATTAACTGAAGAAATATGAAGCATCATCTTGATTAAAATGCATACATTTGAATATATCTGTACATTTGACTTGAACTTTTCTCAACTTATAAGCAAAATATATTTTTGAATACAAATGCCCTAGTTGCAAATCTATCCATACATACACTGCCACAACATTTTGCTCAACATAGTCCAAATTACTTTTTTATTAGCATGTTAGAAAGGAAATAGATTTTTTAATTTTCTGTGCTTTTAGTAAAACATTTTATCGTTAAAAAGCTTAGAATAAATTTCTCAGGCT